TCTCTCTACCACTTCATTTGCATACAAATACATAAAGTTTTAAAATTTCTCATTATAATTTAGGGGGAACATCCGTGGTAAATGGACCTTGTTAGGTAAATTAGCTTTTACAAAGGACTCCATAAAAGGTGAGATTAAATTGCTTTTAGGTTATATTTATCCAAAAATATTTTTTGTTTTCTATTCAAGTTAATTTCCAGGAGATTCAGACTCTGCACTCTTCAGCACCTCTCACATGCTCTCATGGCTCTTACTTTGAATCTGAGTATCATGTTCCTGGCTTCTTTTTGATCTCCACATAAATTCAATTTTTCTAAAATAAGATTTCACATTACCGTTAATACCTGTAGATCTCAAACTTTTACATTAGATTTGGAAATCACCCTTGGTTCTCAATAACATTTCCAGAGAGGAACAAAAAAACGTATTGCACTTCTCTTTCACTTCAACATCTGTGATTATCTTTCTATAAGTTCATTTTCTCAGCTATGGGAAAACTTTTCTACTTAGATAGTAACCAGTAGTCAGGAACTATCAAACGTAGCAGAAAAAGTATTTGTTTTTCTACATTCCAGTTCTCTAAAAAATTAATGTGCCTTTAGAAATTACTTTAGAGATGTTTACAGAAAATTGTTAGTTTGGGGGAAAATATGCCACATGCACATTTGGTTGCATACTAGTAAACTGGTGGTAGGTTTGCACTCTGCAGTTTGCACTATGGGAAAACCATTGTCTCAATCCAAAGAATGTGCTGCCCAGAGTCCCAAATCTGTCACAAGGATTGATTGTGTGAAAGCTATAAAAGACAATTCAGCACAATTTTCTGGGGAATAGGACATTTTGCAAGATTCATTGGAAGGCCCATTCTTGAATAAATAATGCAAAATCCCTTACATGCCAGGCTCTGCCATCTCTGCCTCCTCTGATAAAGCATATGGTCTGTCATGGGCCTATCTTGATTCCATTGAAAGATAATTATGTTTCTGGAAATATTAATTTTAATAATGTAAGTCAATATACAACATAGTTCTGTGATATAAATCCCAAGTGAAAAATTATTGAAAAGTTGTTTTAGAATAGTAATAGATATGTATTTTCTTAAAAAAAACCCTAAAGATGGAATGTGATTACTGCTGTTATGGGCTGAATTGTGTCTGCCTAAAATTAATATGTTCAAGTACTAACCCTCAGTATCTCAGAACATGAATGTATTTGGAGATAAGGTTTTTAAAGAGGTAATTAAGGTAAAATGAGGTTATTAAAGTAAGCCCTAATCCAATATGACTGGTGCCATTATAAGAACAGGAAATCAGGACACAAATCCACACAAAAGGAAGACCACGTACAGAGAGAAGGTGGCCAGCTGCAAGCCAAGGAGAGAGGCCTCGGAAGCAGAAAATAACTTGCCAACTTGATTTCAGACCTCTAGCCTCCAGGGTTGTGAAATGACAACTTTATGTTGTTTAGACCTCTCAGTCAGTGGTACTTTGTTATAGCAGCCCTAGCAAACTAATACACTGTCTGCAACAATAAGAAAATGTACTGCATTTTTTATTTGTGTATTTAGCTATACTTTAGTTCCTAAATATTGCTATTTTTTTTTTAGCTGGAAGATTTGTCATAAATAGAATGAAGCAATAACCATTACTAAATTAAAACAGTATTTAGATTTCTTTAGCATATTTGAAAACTTTTTTTTAAGTCCTACATGTCATCCAAGGAAGGTGATTCAGCCAATAATTATGCTATGATTCTATTTCTAATTAAGAAGATTTTAATACACTTTGTTGATTAAATAAAAAAATAAACGGAAGAACAATTCATATCTTTACATTGTTTTCTCTGATGTGTATATTAGTGTATTTGAATCCCAAATGTTTACATAAATGAACAGTGGACTGGGCTACCATGATGAAGTGGGCAGAGTCCCAAGGAAGAATTTTTGTGAAGCAAGAGCCACTCCTGTAAAAGGACAGCTAACATTAAGAAACTATACATTAAAATATTATGTCATGAATGTCATAAATTATTTCTTTCTCTATGAAAACATTTCTGTTATCTTAGCATAAATGACTGTAGAAATAATGCTGTGTCATTAAGAATATATAAAGAACAGTGCAAAAGTATAGTAATTCAATTTAAATAAAATTTTTGCTATTGTAGTCCCGCAGTTTGCCATTTTCTTGGCAGACTTTCAGAGCATTCAGTTAAATTGGATAAAAATATATGTTATGAACTGAATAGTACCCCCATAAGAGTCATATGTTGAAGTCCTATTTGGAGATAGGGTTTTTATAGAGGTAATTAGGTTAAATGAGGTCATATGGGTGGGCACCTAATCTAATAAGACTGGTGTCCATGTAAGAAAAGGAAGAGACATCAGAAACATGCATTCAGAGTGGAAAGACCGTGTGAGGACACGGTGAGAAGGCAGCTGTCTGCAAGTCAAGGAGAGAGACCTCAGGAGAAACCAATCCTGCTGGCACCTTGATCTTGGGTGTTCAGCCTCCAGAACTGTGCAAAAATAAATTTCTGTTGTTTAAGACACTCAGTCCATGGTAATTTTTATGGCAGCTCCAGGAAACTAATAATGTAGGTCTTAGGTATCTGCTGAGAACGTACCAGCAAGAAAAAAATCTGTGATACTTTCTCAAAAAAAAAAAAAAGTTTTAACACTGCATTTTGGTTTCATACTTAATAGAGAGTCAATGGTTTGTGTTTTTGTAAGAGAATATACGATATGGACTCTGCTTTCATATATGTACATTCCAAATTATATTTATCGATTGCATATAGTAAGTAATAAAAAATGCACTGTGCATAATTTATTTAAGTAACTTCCAAAACCTTTCCAGTTCAGTTAATTTCTGAGTATAGACTCCAGAGGAAAATGGATATTTTTCATTAGAAGTTTAGATATGTTCCATGGTAGTTTAATATAGGCAGCTATTTAAAGAACCATAATAATCCTTTTGTCTTTAAAAAGGAGAAAGAAAATTTTATACTTTCTAATAATACTGTGACTTTGGTTCAGTATTTTATTTTTTCCAAGATTATGTGTGTGTGTGTGTGTGTGTGTGTGTGTGTGTGTGTGTGTGTGTATTACATACTTGCTCCAAGACAAATACTTCTGAAATCATGGAAAACACATATACTTAGAACGATAATATATATGGAAAAAAGTAACAAGTGTTTTGGTTTACACCCCAGGTAATTTAATTTTTTTTCAGCACAAATTATAGAGGTATAAGGATGGTAATAAATATCAGCAGTATAGAATCTCACCAATGATGTTTTCTGGCATATTGAAAAACAGAGTGATATACTTAAGTGCCATTTGACAGGAAAACACAGCCATATTATTTCATCTCTTCTTTCCATTCAGGATAAAAGTAGATTCAAACCAATTATGGACATTATACAGTATAGTACAAAGAATATCCCACTGTGACAGATATGAAATTTCTGAACATTACCTTTACAACAAGTTCAACAAATGTTATCAAAATCCTCAAAGTCTTATTTCAGGGCATCAGTGTGTCTCAGGGCTTGAGTGTGGACTATAAGTGGCCAAAGTGGTTTTACTCAGTGTCACTGTAGCACCTATTCCTTTTAATTTGCTCTTCCACGGTCAGTTGTTCAGACTGGACCTCCACTTTGGGACACACTGGCTTAGCTGCACATTCACTGCTCAGAGCATGAAAGCTTGCGTTTCCATTGATGTGGGCTGCGCCTATTGTTTCGTCATGCCAACGTTTGATGTCCTTCCCAAATTCTTTTAAATACAAACATGGCATGTTTTTCATTTGATCTACAGAATCTATTAAATTGTGTTCAAAAATGTTCTCATTCTTCTTGGAAAAAGCAGCTATTTTCACAGTGTTAGAAAAGAAGAAGTGTAGATTTTTGTTATTTGAGTGGTTTCCTTTGTTGTTTAAGATGTTTGTATCAGAAGAGGCTATTGAACTTTTCGCCTTTACTGTTAACCCACCATTATTAAGGCCTGACTGGGGGGCAGACTGCACAGGACTGCCAGCAGTAGCTCTGTCAGTCTGTTTTTTGAGAGCCATGGCTAGTGTGTTCCTTGGATAAGTCTTTTCAGATTCAAATACACCAAGTAACTCTGAGATTCTAGATGCATTTTGTGCATTTTCAATTTGATATTCACTTGCTGTGTAGTTTGCTTCACTTGACAGCGGCAATAGATTAGGAAATTCTAAAGTAGATGTCTTCTGCCTGCAATTGTTCAGATATGAGACTGCTACATAATTGTTGTTATTATTCTTATTCAAATTCTCTTTATGGTTTTCAGGCACCACCTCATCATCAGTGTTAGTAACCTGTAGAATTTCTGCACCATCAGCATCATTCGTTCTTTCATTTCTCTCTTTCTCAGCACTCTGCGCAACCACATTATTGTCACTAAGATCCATTTCACTTTTCCTCTTGTTCTTCGTCTCTTCAGCCTCATTCAGCTTATCGTGTACATTCTTATTTCCTTCCTTCTTCTCATCTTTTCTTGCTTCGTACATTTCCTTTGTTATGATTCCTATAACATCCTCTTTCTGACACATATGAATGGATTGCAGATATGGCTGCAGGAGAGAAATGTTACCTAGCTCTTGTCCTTTATTGTCCAGAGTTTTAATGTGCTCTATGAGAAATTCACTTTTAAATTCTGCAGATGTAGTGGTTGTTATTTCAGGAGGCCACTTAGGTTTACTCATTTTGAGCTCTTCCTCAAGGGGGAAGGTTTTCTTAGGCATCTCCCTAGAAGGGGGCCAAATGATTTTTAATTTTCCCCTTTCCCCAAATTTTCTCAAATCATCCCTTTGCTCTTCACTGTCACCAGCATCTGTATGTTTATTAAGATCTCCAAGTATGGGATTATTTTCTGCACTGTTTTTATATATACTTGGTTCTTCATTAGGAATAAAGTCCACTGAGCTGCTTTGATTTTTGTAATTCCATCGATCTTTATGCTGTTTGTGTCCAAAACCTTCATCATAATTTCCCTTAGATTTGAAAAGTTGTTTAAAGTGAGGTTTACAATATATTTGTCCATGAAGTGATGCATAATTTCCCAGACTGCCAAAAAGAACAAAAGAAAAAATTTAACATTCTACATATACTCTGCAAATTCATAGGGAATTAAGGAATTAATTATTTCAAGAATGAGTCAGAGACTCAGTGCAATTAACTTACTGGCAATAGGAATGTGCTTATTAATTGAACATTTCTGTTAGATAATAGTTACTGCTGATACCCTACATGATACATGTCATGCAATATTTAGGACTTGATGCTGTATGTCAGGTATTGGTATAACAGATATTACAGTGTGATGTTGGGAGCCGTCTCAGAGTACTGAGACTCCAGGTTGTCTGCAGGTGGAGAATGACAGACAGGTGGCTAAAGACCCCCAAGTTCTGTGTGCTGAGAAAAAGACTGTAAAGCTGCTTGTTAGCTGAATGGCAAAAAGGGAACTGCTAAAATCAGTAAACCAGCAACACCCAACTCATCTCCTGTGTTTTGGAAAAGCAGAAGCTTCTAAACTACAACCACCAACCCTCAGATGTTACTGTCTATGGACTCATGAACTTTTGGGACTTTTCCATCATGGACTTGCTGACAGTTGCTATTGTAAGGTATAATAATAGTCTGAGGCTCTTTTCCTAGTAATTGGAGACAGCGTCGTCATCCCTTAATGATGAGGGATGTTACTAACTCATGATATGGCTGAAGATGTTTAGGAGGAGTGTTGTTTAAGTGTAGCCATTCCAAAGGACCAGTAGGTTGCCAAATGATACCCATGGGGGTAGGGTTAGTATTACAGATGATGAGAGAAACTGGCTATGAGTGGTCTATCCTAGTGACCTGAGCCTGTTGTAAAGCTTTTTCTATTCTGGTAAGAGCAACTTTTGCCTCAGGGGTAAGTGTCCGGGGGGCCATTGGACTGGAATCCCCCTGGAGAATATTGAACAAAGGTTGCAAGTCTCCAGCAGTTAATTTTAGAAAAGGCCTTACCCGATTAATATCTCCTGGGAGTTTTTGAAAATCATTGAGAGTTTTAAGAGGACTAGTCCTGATCTGTATTTTTTGTAGTCTAACTTCTCTATGAGTAATTAGAGTCCCTAAATAGGAAAATGGGGGAGTTTCCTGAATCGTTTCTGGGGCAATACATAACCCAGCTCTCGCAAGGCTGTCTTTAAGTTCTCCAAATATCTGGCGGAGAATCTCTTTATTGGAATGGGAGACAAGAATATCATCCATATAATGGATAATGTAAGCCTGAGGATACAGTTGACGGATAGGCATGATGACCTTGGCTGACAAAAGCTTGGGAAATTGTTGGATTATTTGCCATGCCCTGAGGAAGAACTTGCCACTGAAAACGTTGCATTGGTTCCTTAAAATTTATTGAGGGAAGGCTAAATGCAAAATATTTTTTGTCCTCTTGATGAAGAGGAATGGTGAAAAAACAGTCCTTCAAATCTATTATAATTAAATGATAATCTATTGGGATGGCGGTAGGTGAGGGAAGCCCAGGCTGTAGGCTCCCCATGACCTCCATGGTGGCATTAACTGCTCAGAGGTCCTGTAATAGCCTCCATTTTCCTGATTTTTTCTTTATGACAAATATGGGAGTGTTCCATGGTCTGGTAGATGTCTCTATGTGTCCAGCAGCTAGTTGTTCTTGTACTAATTTTGTGGCTACTTGGAGTTTTTCCTGAGTAAGGGGCCACTGGTCAACCCATACTGGTGTGTCTGTGAGCCATTTAATCTTAATTAAATTGGAGTGGGTTGCAGGAACTACCAAGGCCCCTAGGATAAATCCTGATACCCTAGTCCAGATCTGTTATTATTGGGTGTTATGTTGTACAGGCTCAAGCCTGTCCTGTCCCAGGGATCCTAGTCCCTAGCCTGGGACATATCCCTGATTAAACATGATATTGGTGACTGAAGTACTAGGGCTGTAAAGCATAACTGACATTTGGCTTAAGATGTCCCATCCCCAGAGATTGACTGGGAGACTCTCAAGGACATACGGAGAGAAAGTTCCAGAGTGTCCCTCTAAATCTTTCCAGGTGAGTATTTCAGAACTCTATAAAGGTCCTTTTGCCATGCCTATGCCTTGGAGGTTGGTTAAAGCCTCCCGTGTCAGCCAAGATGATGGCCAATGTTGTTGGGAAATTACAGACACATTTGCTCCTGTGTCACTGAGACCCTGGAAAGATTTGCCTTCTATAATTAAATTAAAGGTGGGATGCTCTTGTCCAACCCATTGGACCCAAAATACATCAGAGGACCCAGAACTCCAGGAACCTTATGCCTGCTGAGAGGCAGTTCCTCCTGCAGCTACAGTGGGAATGATTACTATTTGAGCTACTCTGTCTGTGGGGAGTACCTGAATGATATTTTTGTGATGCGTCAGCCATGATCTTAATTTCCTGGTAAAGTCAGAGTCTATGACACCAGGATAGACCTGAAGCCCTTTCATAGTCCAACTACTCTGGCCGAGAAGAAACCCCCATCATGTTAGGTGGTAATGGGCCATAAACTCCAGTGGGGATGGCCTGAGGACCCATATCTGGGGTTAATATGACCCTGGTAGAGGGACTGAGGTCCAGTCCTGCGCTCCCAGGGGTGGCGCAGTATAATTGTTGAATAGTACGCCATGCTGGCTGTTTATGACCGCTGGATAGGCTGGCAGTGCCCTCATTATTTGGTGGGGCCGGGGCTGGCCCGCACGGAGTTTCCCAAAATGGGCTGTCCATGGATATCAAATTGAGACCTACATTCATTAGCCCAATGTTTCCCACACTTGCATCTAGGGTATATCCCAGGGACATGACCTGGCAGGCTGGGATGTCCAGCTGCCGGAGGCCTTCCCGGGAAGCTTTAGGACATTCCTTAGCAAAGTGACCCGTTTGCCCACAAGAACAGCAATTGCCCTCAATGTGGTTTCTTTCTCTCTTTTGATGGAGCCTTGCCTGAGAAGATGGTAGGTCTACAACCTTCTGCAATGCCATGGCAAGGGCATTGCCTTGGATATAAGATGGCCCTACATCAGCACATAGGCGAGTAAAATCTGACAAGTCTCCTTTCTTTTTATGTGATTGAAGTATGGCCTTGCAGGTGGAATCTGCATTTTCAAAAGGTAATTGTTTTGCAAGAATCTGTCCAGCCCCTGCGTCACAGACAAGCCGATTTATGGCCTGTAGGAGTCTAGAGACAAAATCCTGATATGGATCATCTGGTCCCTGTCTAATACTAGATAATTCCTCAGTCTTGACCCCAGTCATGGGGAGAGCTTTCCAAGCTTTGGTACGACAGAGACTGACTTGTTGGTAACCTGTAAAGGATAATAAGCTACTTGATCTCCCGAGTTACTAAAAAGCCCTTCACCCTTGAGCATGTCAGCCAGATGGGGATCTGATGAGCAGCATTGCGCTCTGCTTGTTGCTGGCATTGGTCTGCAAACTCAGACTTTCATAGTGAATAATCTCCTCCACTTAAGGATGCCTTATTTAACATTTGCCAATCATAAGGTGTAAGCTGAGCATTGGAGATAGCCTCAAGCAAAGCCAGCGTAAAAGGTGCGGTTGGCCCATACTGGGAGACCGCTGTTTTCAACTCTTTGAGTGTCTTAAAAGGAAGAGGTGCATGTTCCCTAAGTACCTGTCCTGCATTATTGGGATCAGGACATTCGACTGTAGGGAAGCAAAACTGTTGGGAACCCTCTACAGTGTAATAATGCATATGCAGATCTTGCAAAACGATAGGACTAAATCTTTGTTAACTTAGTGACTTATGTGAGGGGTTGCAATTTCCAATAAATCCTGAATAGCGCACGCACAGAAATCAACTGTTTGAACTTCCTTGTTAACTGGATTTTGAATGAACTGGAAAGCTTGTCTACGTAATTGTTTATCTGTCTTCTTTGAGATCAACAAATAGATTGCCTGTTAAAATTAAAATCGAATTTAGTCAAAGGCAACAGCATCATTTTTGAATGTCTGTGAATCTCCACATAAAAACAGATACATCAACAGATAGCAAAACTTAAAACCCATGGATAAAATTTATAACAAAACTCAGTGACAGGGTATCCCCACCAACCCCAAAATATGAGTTAAGGACAAACCACCAACAGCTATAAGACTAGCACCATTAGTCGCATCTGTATGTGTGAGAGCACAGGGAGCAAAGAAGGTGTCTGATAGATCTGAAAATATGAGACCACAAAACAGCTAGGTAATATTTATTGGAAAGTATCACATGCCAATGAGAGCACAATGGCTGAAACTCCAATAGCCAATGAGTGCAAGGGCTGTGGTAGGAAAGATTGAAGAGGCTGGAGAGGTCAAACTCTCAGAACTGACCCACTAAGATCCCCTTTCAAAACAAGACACCACACTGAGGCAAAAAAATATATGGAAGTGGAATCAAAATTGAGTTGTATAATGATGATAGAAATAAATAAGTAGGTCCTGACTAACATGGGGGATAGGAGCCAAGGTAGGAAATCTTAGAAGTCAAGCCATCATAGTTTTTTGAACAGAATATGAATATTATAAGGGGTAGCTCTGTGAAGTTGTGGAAACCATCCTGAAATTTGCATCATTCTAAGATATGGGAAAACAAATTCTACATAAAAATGAGCAACAGAAAAGAATCAAAGACAAATATTACACAAAGTTATTATAAGAAGTAAAAGAGTAAGGAGCATCATAATATCCCCACAGACAATGAAAACATGCCAGAAAAACATGTTCTCAAAACATCGAAATTCTAACCTACTATTTCAAAATGAGCTAGATGACATTAAGAAAATGACAAAAGACCTGAAATAAGACAATGAATTGGAATTAGAAAAAGTCATAAATGAGGCTCCAGAAATCAGGGAAAGAAAAGAAATAAAAGTGAAAGAAAAAGTCAGCAATCAAAAACTAAATGAAAAGAAATAGAGAGCAAATTAACACACTAGAAAGTGTCTGAAGAGAAATAAGAGACTAAAGATAAAAGTTTACAATCAGATATGAAAAAAAGAAATAAGAATTTGAGAGAAAGACAAATATGCACAAAATATTTGTGTATAGATAACGGGAGTTCTAGAAAAAGAAAATAAAGCAATGAAATAGGTTAAATACTCAAAAGCTTCGATTTAAGGAAACTTTCAGGATATAAAAAGTATGAAGCTACAAACTGAAAGTACACACTGGGTAACTAACACTATTCACCCAAAATGACCAATGTCAAGAACTATGCTAGTAAAATTACTGGACTTTAAATAAAAGGAAAATCCTTTTGTGTATCTGAAAAGAAAAAAGCAAAAAGCATACGGCTTATAAGAGAAAGCGAGTTAGATTATTATCAGACATTCCCAACCCCTTATGCCAGAAGGAAACGGAAGAATGCATTTCAGGTACTGAAATGAAACGAAGTGTAAACTAAGGATTTTACTTTCAACAAAACTGACTTTCCATTTTAAAGACCAATTGTTACCAGCATGTAAGAACTCAAGGAATATTGTTTTCATGAATCTTTTCTGAGGAATCTACAAAAAAACAAGCTTGAAGGACCAGAATAGCTATAGAAACATCAATATAAGGACTGATGATAAGCATTAAATACATTTTTTCCTATAAACTAAGATGAAATTAGGGCAAAGAGGGAGGTAATATGATATGTAATGGCTGTGTAACATGACCCTGAAGATATAATACAACAATTTTTGAAAGTAGCATGTAAGTGGAGAGTAAATGATATTTTTTAATGTTTTGATAATCAAATTAGTGGTGCCAATAAGTCTGTTATTCCAATACTATTGACCAAATGAATATGGGGTATTCTACATCTGTTATCTCCTTTGTCTTTGAGTCCTGAAATGGAAGAAAGGAGATACAAATGTCATGGAAAAGAGGCTAAGCAAAAGCAATGTAGTTTTAAATTCAATTTAGCAATATCATTACAAAATCGATATATTTTTTTCTTTATATATATTTACTAACTCTTAACACTAAAAACACTTAGAAATTAGTGACCAACCCAGTAGAAAGAGCATCAAGATTATTGTCTTGAAATGTTATTTCTCACCAAAAGAACCAGGACTTAGAGAAATGACATGATTCCAGGCCTGGGGCAATAAATGTACAAGATGAGAATAGAACATCTAGCCCCATAGATAATGAGGAAACTAGCAAACTGCTAAGGTCTTGTCAAAAACACTCAGAAGACAACTTGAAGGGGCTTCTACTCTCCAAGGATAGCATAATTTGAGCTTCAGGAATGATAATAATTGAAACTGATTGAAGCCAATCATGTATAAATATTTGAGTTTATAAAGATATTAAAAATATTTTAAAATTGGTTACTTCTAGGGCATGACAAGGGATAATTTCATTATATTGTTAAATAAGTAATTGATATCTTGGCAAAACTCATTAAAAAAAGGACAGAATTATACATTTATTCTGCCTTTCCTCCACCAGCTCTACCACCATGTAACCAAATAGTGGAAGAGAGGAAGCATCTCCTGTAAAAGTATTCTGATAATGAAAAGAAAGAACAAAAGAACACTTTGCAAACATCAATTAATGGATATAGGTACTAAGCTTCAATACCTACTATGATCACAAAATGAGAGAAAAGCAGGCATATGTGCTTACTATATATACTCTTGCTAATATTCCCTATGTTCTTGTGAAAGACATCAAATCTTAGTTTAAACAAGAATCTAGATTCAGCTGACAATGTGTCAGAGAAGAAAGGAGTATGTAAACTGCACGATAAGTATGTAATTATCAAGTCTAGACTACAGAAAACTCTACAGGTCAAATGTCCCGAGTTCTTCACAAATAAATTGTAAGAAATGAAAGGAATGGATGAAAAAAACCTTAAAAGACATACCAAAAATTTTAAAAAATTGATAAAATTACATTACCTAGGAAAGCACATTTGGAAAAAACAAAACAAAACAAACTATAAAAATCCAAGGAAGCAATTATTGAAAAGGATATTGTTTACTCACAGGAGTGAGCAGGCTGTGTTTGGGTGGGGAACAGAGAAGGCCCTTCTGGAGTGGCTGGCAACACTGTATTTCTTGACCTTAGTAGTGGCTACAAAATGTTCACATTATAATAATTTATTGAGCCATACATATATACTTGCTTTGTTTGTTTTTTCTGTATTTGTGGTTTTTTATACCATGATTTTAAAAAACAGTCATTAAATAATTTTTCTGAGTTCTTATATGTGAGCCTTTACTTGATATTGGCAAGGCAAGCATGAACACATTTCGTCCAGCGGGGAGAAGTACATTAGAGTGTGTTAAGAATGGGGCATGCACAGGAGACACTTTGGGAGCACATGAGAAAGACACCTGATGAATATATGAGGCCAAAGCAGGCTTCTTCTGAAACAGGAGTCTAAGTGGAAGTCTGAAGTATGAGTGGGCATCAGCATGGTGGAAAGCTGGGGGAGAAGCATGGGAAATCCCCTAGAAGGAGTGGAAGTAACATTTGGGACAAGATAGATGCGAGAGAGAAAAACAATGATTCTGTGAAACTGAAAGAAATTCAGTCTTCATGAAAAGTAAAACAGGAGGAAGAGGTGTTGGGAGAGGAACAGGGGCAAGATCCTGAATTACCTTTTAATTCATATTACGATGTTAATTTTTTATAGAGGAAGCTAGTCTATATTTTAAACAGGGACATGACCTCAGATTTGCATTTCAGAGAGATCATTCTCATTATATTATGAAGCACGGCACTGAGGCAGGTTGGCAGTGGTAGTGATGTTGGTGAGAGGTACTGGAGGCAGGGAGACTAATCAACTAGAAAGGCTGTTGCATTACTACAGGTAAGAGATGACACCTGCTTGAAAGATACCTGGGCTGTGGGGGTAGAGAGAAGTGTACAGATCAAGAGGTATTTGTGTGACAGAAGTTACAGAACTTGGTCACTGCTTCGGTATAGGGAATGAAAGAGAGGAAGGAGTCAAAGGTAATTTCATGTTTCAGTCATTGAATTAATGTTAATGTCATTTACTGAGAGAGTTGCATCCAGACCATGAAGTCAAGGAAGGCATTTTGGTAGATAATGGGGCATATTGAATTTGCTGTACTTAGGAGAAATCTAATTGGAGATACATACGAGTCCTTGAGATATAAGTGTCTGATACACAGAGGAGAGAGTTGGGCTAGTGGTACAGATTTCTGAATTATTGCCATATGGATGATGATTAAAGTTATGGGAGTGGATGCGATAAACCAGAGAGAATATAAACAGTGAAAATAATAAATGCCCTTAACAGAATTCTAAGGAACTCTCACATCTCTGTAATGGACAGAGAAAGAATCACTGACAGAGGGGTCTGAGAAGGGACACCCAGAAGGTAGGAGGGAAACCATTATACTCTGGTGTCATGGAAACCAAGGGAAAAGAATGTTGTAATAAGGGGCATTTAGCATTGTCAATTAAAGTCAGGAAAGATATAGTCTGAGGGATGGACATTGGATTTAGCAAAATAATTACATTTCAGCATCTCAGACTATAGCCACAACAAATGCTATATTCATTTAAATGCATTTACTTCAAGAGTTTTGGAAAACAAGAGCATTTGTAATTGTGTCGATAAGGTGCTTCTGTTTCAGCAGAGAATAACAGAGGATTTTATTTGACCTGACGCTGACATTATTCTCAAATTTATTTGTTTTTACTTAGATGAAATAGTCCATAGATAGGTAAACTCTAGCGCCGACCACCTGTTTTTGTATATGAAGTTCTGCTGGAACATAGCTAAGCCTATTACTTTATAGTCACGCCTGTTGGCTCAGTTATCTGTGGCTGCTTTTCATTTATGTAACAACAGAAAATGAAAGGCCTATGAAATTGAAAATATTTACCACCTGGCCCTTTACAGAAAAAGTTTGCTGACACTTGACCTAGAATCTAACCTCAGACTAAAGTAGTAACTTAAAAATCCTGACTTGCACAGTAATTCTTAATTTTTCATAGCTATATGATCTCCATGTTTATTTTTATTTTTATATTTTTAGCTGAGCCATCCTGCTACCTGTTGACAGCTCAGCAGCAGCTCAGCTCGGGCTGGGCATTGAACCACTGTTGCTCAGAGCTCAAACTCTTGAGGGAGCTCTTAACCAACTGAGCCACTCGGCCAGCCCATGATCTCCATGTTTAGACAAAAGGGACCCTTCTGGGTTTGATTAGGAAAGCAAAATTTCAAAAGGAAAACGTTCACAGCCATCCTGAGCAAAAGCATGACAGAACTTGACCACATCCCTTTTGTGTTTGTGTCAACTGGTGGCAGCAAGATCTGGAAAAACCTACATCTTCCTGGAGACATGATGTTCTCCACACACTGCAGGCTCTTGAGTACGTGTGCCGCAGACCACAAAACATTTACCTCAGTTTACTGTTGCAATGGTGGCATCGGAAGCAGGACTTATGAAAACTCTGCTTGTCTGCTGTTAGGCACTCCATTGGATAAACTGTCTTTTGACAAAGGATACATATTTCCTTGTCCTGGAGTAGCAGTTTCTAAAAATAAAAAATTTGCAAAAGCTTATTTAGTGTTCTCTTCAGTCACATTGTAAAAACAAAACAAACAACAGCAGCATATTAACTGGCCATGCAGTTAAAGTGGAAAGCTCTTAAGACGGTTGTTCTGATATTGCTTCTCTGGATTTAAGCCGTCCTACCAACAGGTCTGACACTCGGCTACTATCAACCTTACTGTAGTGTCTCTACTATTTTATACATTGTACAAGTTGACTTCTTTTGTTTAAGGAAATCTATATGAGTAAAATATGTTTGTTAACTTTAATACATTAAAAAGAATATAGAGTAAACTCAGCCATGGGAGTCCTGAAAGCACTAATCATTCTGGATAACTAACCTTTCCATGTATATAAAGGTTTATACCTCACTTGGTCCAAAGCGTTTATGTTTTAAAGCATTCTGGAGAGGTTTTTCTAAAACATGTACATGTCTTTTCAGCTAAGGCCACTGTATTTGTTTAAATATTTTTTGATGACCTAGTGTTGACTCTGACACTGATTCTTAACTTTAATCCAACAAGACTCCTGATTACATTGAAGTGTTCAGGGCCTTTTGTCCTCAATCTAAATGGCTTTAGGTTTTAGGGCTTTCTCGATTTGCATATCTGCCTGTTATAGTCCCCCTACCACTTGCTTTAGAGTACCTTTATTCACATGCTGCTGCTGTTCGTGTGAATGCTAGCTCCTATGACTAGTAGTAGTTACATCACTAACCAGTGTTTGCACAGTAGTTCAGAACTCACCTCAGTATTATTTTGATCCTCACAATGATCCAGTGAGAATAACTAAGCTTTCATATTAGTTATACATAAAAGCATACAAGTTCAAGGTTTTTTATACAAATGAATATATATATATATATATATATATATATATATATATATATATACACACACGTTAGTGCTTCGAGGCTCAATTTAGGCTACTGAGAGATCACTTTTGTTTATTTGGCTCTTGTAGGAGAAATATTTCAATGTTTAACATCATCGTTTTTTTTTCTATATGTTTATAGCTATCTTAACAGAAACTGAGCATTTGAAATTAATTAGACAGCTTTGCTTAATTATGCCAGAAGCAAGCATATTAAGAAATCATATTAACCTGATAAATTAGACACATATGTTGCAAATATGATAGAGGCATAGTTATTAGTTTCAGCAGTTTTATTTTTGAGCTTGCTATTTCTTTCAATCTGTCTAAAAGAATGGATTAGGCTAATGATACACATTAATTATGTCAAATCCTTTTATTGTAAAGCCTCATTAATTGTAAAATCTAAGGAAGTATAAATAAATGAGCTGTTTGTTGATGTACTAAGTTCATGTTTTCAATCTCCCTCCTTCCAAATACAACCAAATTTTTAAAATGTATTATCCATGTTCATCTGTGAATGAGGTCAACTGAGCTATCATTCAAGGTTTAAGAAAGGTGAAAAAAATGTTATAGAAAAAATATCAGTGGCATTAGAGTAAGCTAATTCCATTCAACTCAATAACAATAATTAAATACACAAAATGTCTAATTCCATACCTACACTTTTGTCAGAGATACCAATCAATAAAAGTCCTTAAAGCATATATCATGAGTGTAAATTATTTCTTGGATTATTACCAGTCTTTATTGAATTCAAATGCAAATACCACTTAAGTGTGGCAGTTAAAAATGTGTCAATAGTAGTTCAAGGGATATTATCTAATATTGTCTTAAACAAGTGGATGAAATAATAACTTTTAATAAGGAATATTAATAATGTGCTATGGGTGTACAATTATTAATAAGTACATAGTTACATATAATCATTAATACTGTCACCATAACAATGATTATATCTGCTGCTTTACCCAAAGCTTTATTTACCTTGACAAATACTGGTCTCAATAATATACATATATAATAGTATTTGTTATTCTCACACAGTGCAGGTGAATCATATTATATGCTTTTGTAAAGGGAAAGGAGTAAAAGCAAGCATTGTAAACATAAGGACATCGGCAACCAGGGAAAGCTGTTAGTCTTAGGTTATATTGTTTAGTGACTTCCACACACTCTTTTAACTGCATCTTAGCTGTGGAACACATGCCTTTAAATGGGTTAACCTCCTCTCACATTTTGCAAGCTTATTTACCACTTATAAATGCAGATTCCTCTTGGAAGGCAGTTCTCATCTCAGCTGCAGAAGAATCTGAGGTTGCACATCCCAGGCTTTTAAAAACTCTTTCACTCTCCTGCCATGTCTTTTGAAAATTCCTCCTGAGCTCTGTAGGTGAATCTGAAATATCTAAAATATGGCCAGCGATGACATCTTCATAGGTTGGTGGGGCATGCTTGAAGTCAAAGCCAGCTCTGCCAGCTTCTGAGTTATGTGAAGAAGACACCATCATCTTCGATCCAACAACTTGACTCTCAAATGCGTCCAAGCCTGAGAAATGTTCACCTAGAGACCTTGTTTCAGAGCGTACACTGGGCTGCTTAACAGGAATGTTTTCTTGCAACTCGTTAGGGCCATTGCAAGAAAAGCCTGTAAAACTAGTGTTTTCTAAAGATGTTAATCCAAATTCCTCCTTACAAAACGTACGACATTCTTGTTTTCTATTATTGTTTGCTTCTCCATTTACATAAACCCTTGCATTTGACTGGGCTTCAAAAACTGGGCCACCCTCAAATTCCCTGAACCATCTGTTTATTTCATTTTCATGGTCATTCACGAAATTCTCAGCCATTTGAACAGCTCGGTTGGCTGCTTCATATCTCTGCTTGTGCTCTGACAGGCGAGGCCCTTCCACTTTGCGGATGATTTCGACTGAGTCAAAACTTTCAGTATCCGGCACTACATGCTTAATGGAATTGACTCCATCATTGTGAACGTAAGTCGCCCTTTTCTCTACTTTCCTAACTTCCTCTTGAGCTGCCACGGATTCCCTGAAGGAACCACTATCAACATGATTTACACTTATAGGTATTGTTATTGTAGGGGGAGAATCCCTACCACGACTTTCTATCTTAATTTGACGACGGAGGGTTGCAGGAGAAGTGACGATTTCTGACCTCTTCTCTACCATTGGAACCGGGCTTACTGGTGAACGTGGAACGGCCCCTCGGGATAACTTTGCAGTGGTGTCTTTGAGTTTGACAAGTTGTTCAGAGCGATTCCTGGGTGGAGAAGGGCAAGTACTTGCTCTGTGAATTCTAGATGTTTGTGACACAAGCCTTGGTGACGGTTCAGCAAAACTGTCCTTTTTAGGGGCCTGAGAAAGCTCATCCTTAGTAGAGGTTTCTGTTCGCCGAGCAGTAGACTCGATTGTTATAAAAGTTGGTGATGGAGAGCGTGTTTTTAAGGAGGGAGGAGAAACCTTATTATCATCTAATTTAATTTCCTGATGGGTTTTCACATGATTATGAGTAGTTGCTGCATGATGGGTTGCTACTTGGTGGTGCTGTGCTTTTTCTGCAATGGTATTTTCTTTCTGTTCCTTGTTTTTATTATAACTGACATCAACACTAGATACTTGAGATAATGCTTCATTATAACCAGTAGGTTTATTTCTCTGCTTTCCTGCTTTGGAGGATATCATGGTTGTTTGAATTATATTTTCACAGGACACAAGCATATCCTCTGCTTGAGTTTTAATATGCATTATTTCTTCTTTGATTTTTTCTATGTTATTCTCCATAGCAATGCGAACTCCATATTCTCTTTTTTCTTCACTTAATAGCCATACCGGAATAATATTTAATAGTGTCTGAAATGTTTTAAAGCCATTTTTATCTGGCTCTGCTTCAAACTGTTTTACCCTAGACAAAATCTGTTGTAGCTCTTCACGTTTTCTCAAAAACTCCAATATATTTATAGCACACTTTCCATTATCCTTCTGAGAGTCTTTCACAGAGGAAAATAAAGATTTGTTCTGGGTAATCTCTTGCTTTGAATCTTTAGTATTAGAAAAGACTTGTTTCTGTTGTATGCCCTTGACTCCAAGACATTTTTCTTCCTGAAGACTATTATATGGCTGCGGCAATTTTTTATGTTCAAGTTGACTTTCAGAAGTCTGTATGTGTGTTTGCTGAAAATTCTCAGTTTGTGAATCAAGATGTGTATCAGTAACCTTTTGCTTGACTACCTTCTGTTCTGATTTATTCAAATGTTCTTGTTTCCTTTCGACTATTAGCTTGTCTTCTTTTGAACCAGTCGTCGGTGCATCCTCAATTGTTTCTTCCCTTCTTGGAAGTTTTCCATTCTCAGATTCTCTAAATTTTCTTTGCTTCTCATTAACTCCATTGAGCTTACTTTCATGGCTTTTCCCTGCAGGTTCCACAGGTAATCTTACTGTTACTCGTTTCTCCTTCTTAGGTAATTGATAACATTTTTCAGGTACAGTTTGCTTATCACTATGTTCAGTGCATGCTTCTGCTTTCTTGGTTTCCTGGTACTGTTGTTTGGTAGTGGTTTGAACACCAACTTCAGATTGCTTTTTATGGCTTTCATAGCTGTGGTCTGTTTCATTTAATTTATGACCTACAGTTGGAAGCTTGATGGTTCTAACTTTGAAACTTGGGGAAGCTGGTTTGCTTTGGGGCAAGTGCAACTGCTCCGGATACTTCTGCTGTGCTTGTTGTGCACTACATGCTTGGTGACTCTGTTTAACGTCACAAGCTGATTTAGATTGTATCAAGTCCCTTGAGCTCTGTAGAACTTCCTTTTTCATGTTATCTTTGTCTTCTGAGGCTGCTAGAACATGTTGGAGCCTCTTGGCAGCAGCTGTTACTGCCGATGTTGTGGAAAGCTGGTTATCCATACATAGTCCTAGTGCCTGAGAATGACTTTGAGAGTCTGTGCTGGGTTGGGCCACAGTGACCCCTGAATCTATTCCAGGTTGGGAAACCTTTGCATTTGCTTTTTGTAACAGCACTTCCTTTTCCAACTCTGATATATTTTGATTTTGGCGTTCCGTTTTGACCACGTTATAGCAAGAACACTGCTGTTTCTGTTTTTCAAGCTCTTCTCTTTGTTGCCTGTACCTTTCTTCAGCAATCATTAAAGGTGTCTTAAATTTTCTCATATAAGGTTTTGGACTTTGTTGTCCTGAACCCACAGGAAATGAATGAGATTTTACGAGAGGTGTTTTTCCTTGTTTTACCCTGGGTGGTGAAGTTTCTGGAACTGTCTGCGAGACAGACCTTGTAGATTCCATAGACACTTGTTTTCTTTCACCAGTACACTTTCTAGATATCTGCCTTGTCTCTGTGTGTTCACTGCTAGTTGCCACCATTACTCCTTTCTCATCCTTTGAGGGAATAATTTTACTTTCTATATCTGCCAGGGAATTTTCCAATTCAACTTTTGGGGAACCATGATACTTTTGATCTACTATATGCTTAGGAAGTTTTGGTTTGGGTAGTGTGGGAGGTGGTAGACGTACTCCTGATTTTCCTGTTATGATTTTAGCCTGAGAATGGGTTTGCTGAGAGCTTGAGGCTTCTTCTTGGGCATATTGTGTGAATGCTCTACTGTGCTTTTCTTGAACAGAGGAGGAAAGGAGATGTGCTGGGTTTAGAGATGGAGTTGGAGGAGGGGGAGGAAACATTGATAGACATTCTCTTTCAGATTTCTCATTTTCTGGTGGTGGAGGAAGAAGGAGGCCTGGGAAATTGTCAAATCCAGCCTTTATCTTCTCTGTGGACAGTGAGGGAGGACACACATTTTTTTCAGGCAATATCATTAAAGGAGGTGGAGGAGGAAGAGGAAATTCTATTTCAGAGGATGCATTGGAAGGTGGAGGAGAAGGTGGAGATGGAGGTGGAAGAGAGCACTCACTTTCTTTTACATTATTTTCAGGGTTCAAGTTGATTGGGTTAAAGGACATTTCCATTGCCTTTCTTAAGTCTGTGGAAGTATTTGTCTTCATTAGAAAGTCCTGGCTGTTCAGATGAACATCAGTTGTTTGCTTCCTGTTGGTTGCCTTAAATTTATTGTGGCCTTTTTGGGAGACCTTCACTTCTGTTATATTCGACATGTCTTGATCTACAGGCAAAGTCTGCCATGCTGGTTGAGGGTTCACATTCTTTTTCTTTACATCTTTATTAACATATTGTACTTCTTGCTTTAACAAAGTTTGCTGCTGAAAGTCCCCTGAAACCACACAAGTTTCTCCAACTGTCTCGTTGACTGGACCCTGGGTTGGACTGGGCTTAGAGCTTTGTATTTCTGTTGCTATTTTAGTGTTTTGAGTATTTTTTAAACTCTTCACAGGGAAAGACTCCGTCTTTTGGTGGTCATTCCTCAGTTTGCAAGTCTGAGTCTGTTGCTTCCCAACTGTTTTATCAATAGATTGGGTGGAGTTAAAGCCAGTATCCTTCTTCTGTTCTCTCACTGCCTCTGAATCCTTTGTTTTTAGATTTTCCCTCACTGACACAGTTGAAGTCAATTGTCTGCTCATTTGTTCACCTCTAAGATGCTGCTCTGTTGTGGTATCAGTCAAGACACCCATTCTGTTCTCTGATTCCAACACATTTTTAATAGCTTTGTGGTGTGAGTTAGATAGTCTTCTAAGGCTTTTCTCAAGAGCATCGTTGTTTTGTTCACGATTTATGACAATCTTTACAGTGCCTTTAGGGGCTTTTGGAAGATTAACCTCAGTTCTTTCTTCTATTGAATTCCCATGACAAGATGTGCCTGTAGTTTGGTTGAGAGTGGTTGTTCCCCCTTGCCACCTGGCCACTGGCTCAAGTGGTCCAGGCCTTGGCTGCAGAACACTTTTTTTGTCCATCTGGACAGCCACCTGATGATGAATCTCTGTTTTCTGCTGCTCTTGTGAGGATCCGACCATCGCGGCTTGCACATGTTCTTTGACCACACCTCTTTTATCTACATTTTTGAAAGCTCTTTCTGCTTCTTGCAGATTCCTTAATGATGTTTCAAGGTTATCTCGGATAAGCTCCTTTTTCAAGATTTCTGCCCTTGTGTGTGCGGACTTTTCGAGGCATTCAATAGCTTTCTCAAAATCATCAGGGATGGCATTGGGCTGCTTAGGTTCTTTCCCTTGGTGGCTTGACTCCTTAAGTGACTTGAGTGTGGCCAGCATGTCACCTTTTACAATTTCTTCTGTTTTAGCCACAGATTTCTGATTTATGGCCTGGCTAAGGGAATTTAGGGTTGATTTCAAATCACCTTTTATAATTTCTTCTTTGGGTATCTTAGAAGATGTACTCGGACGCTCTGTCATAAAAACCTTAACTGTATTCTGCACATCTCCTCGGATGATGTCAGTTTCATTAACAGTATGTTCAACCCGAGACTGCCTTTTCTTTAGTAACAGTTTGGTGCCCTCTACGTCACCACCAATTATGTCTTCCTCTCTTTCTTGCATCTTAGCTGGTAGTGTTTCATCTGACTCCATCTGGAGCTGTTTGAGATAATCCAAAGCTCCAGTTTCTATGCATGTGGTGAAAAACTGAACATTTCCTCTCTCAGATGCATCAATTTTTGCCCTTTCAGATATTTTATTGTTTGATATGGAAGATAGCAGATTGTGAATGGTACGTTTTACATCACCCCCTACTATTTCTTCACGCTCAATTGTGTCACCACCATTTTCATGAAGAAGACAGTAGATGGTCATGTTAATATCTCCTCTTTCGTCCTCCTGAATTAAAATGCCTTTCTTTACAGATCTTTCCTCAGAGAACAGGTTTTTTATTGCTTGTTTTACATCACCACTCACGATCTCTTCTTTTTCAGCATGGAATTCTCTTGATCTGCTTAATAATTGAGTTTTGGTCAGATTAACATTTCCCTTTTCTTCTTCACTAACCCAAATCTCTCTTTTCATACTGTCTCTTTTGGAAAGTAGGTTCACCATTATATTTCTGAGATCAGCCCTGATAATTTCTTCTTTCTGTATCTCTGGAGATGTTTGATTCATTAGGTTATATTTTGCCATTCGAACATCCCCAACTTCATCAGCTTCAATGATGATTCCAGGAGCCTCTATAACTTTTTGAGAGTAGAGTTCTTCTAAGGTCTCTTTAATGCTCTTGCCAATAATTTCTACCTTTTCTACCCTATTTTCATTAAATTCATGAAGGGGTGTAGTTTCAAAGAGCCAGGTAGTTGTCTTGACATCAGAAGGAGGGATTTCTTCCTTGGTGATTTTTGTGATGCTTTCGTCTGCTTCCTTAATAGAATCCAACGTTTGATTTTCAAAAAGCCATACTGCCTGCTTCACATCACCTTTCTGCATATCTTGCTGGGTGACTGTTTTGATATTTTCGTATTCTGACCCTTCTCCTCTCAGCTCATCTAGAGTGTGGGTTTCAAATAGCCAAGTAGATGTTTTAACATTGCCCTTCTGTATTTCATTGACACTTACTGTTCTTATATAAGCATTCTTATCAACGTTTCCAGACTCAAAGAACTGTTTACTTGTCTTGACATCCCCACCTTGAATATAGTCTACAGTGGGCACCATGTCACGTGATTCTTCTGAAATCTGATCCAGTGGCTGCGTTTCAAATCTGTATCTGACAGAACTAACATTTCCTTTCTGAATATCTTCTTGTGTGACTGATTTAATAACATATACTGTCTCTGATTCATTTATTGAGTCTAATGGTTTTGTTTCAAAAAGCCACCTTGTCCCTCGAACATCTCCATGAATCACCTCTTCCTTTTTAACTGTTGTCACTTCATGATAATACCCTTCTCGGTCTTGAATTGCATAAAGTGGCTGGGATTCAAAGAGCATTCTGTAGTTTTTGACATCACCCTTTATTACTTCTTCAGTAGTTGATTCATTGGTGCTGATATAGTCAGATTCTTCTTTAATCTTATCCAAAGAAAAAGTCTCAAAAACAAAGCACCCTTTTCTTACATCCCCACCTTGTATGTCTGTCACTGTCTTAACCAGTTCATCACCTTCTTGACCTTCTTTAATCATATCAATTTGTTGGTTTTCAAAAAGCCACCTACAATTTAAAACATTGCCTTTCTGAATATCTTCAGCCTTTAGGGTTTGGATCTTTTTCAAAACTTCTTCTGAACTGGAACTTATAGAATCTAAGGACTGATTTTCAAATTTATGCCGCATGCTGGAGACATCCCCAGCTTGGATATCCATTTGCACAGCCTTGATTTCCTTTCCTTCTTCTCCTTGTATGCTGTCCAAATTTTCTGTCTCAAAAAGAAAACATGCTGTACGAACATCCCCACCTTGGATCTCCTCCTGTTTTACAGTTTGTGATTTGACTGTTGCTTCAGAGTCATCTTTTATGGTGTCAAGTGGCTGTGTTTCAAAGAGCCAAGTACAGGCTTTGACATCTCCCTTATGGATTTCTTCACTGCCAGTCATTAATGAAACTTTTTCATAAAGAGACTCCATTGGCTGGGTTTCAAAAAGCCACCTACAGGTTTTCACATCCCCTTTAACAATGTCTGTAGCTTGTTCAGTTTTACTTTCTAATTCTTCCATATTACTAAAATATTTAATTGAATCAAGAGGTTGGGTTTCAAACAGCCATTTAGCAGATTTCACATTTCCAGTCTGTATTTCTTGAGCAGATATTCCTCTGATTATCTGAAATTTATGAATGCTTTCATCAAACTGGTCAATGGGCCTCGTTTCAAAAAGCCACCTACAGCTTCTTACATCACCTCTTAGGATTTCTTCTTGCTGGACTGTCTTTACCTGATGATATTTTCCAAGGTGATCTTGAATGGCATATAGTGGCGTTGTTTCAAAGAGTGATTTATTTAACTCTACAGCACCTCTTGTGATTCCTTCCACCTCTATTTTATGTGATGCATCAAATTTAATTAAATTGTTTGATTCAAAGATATGTGTGTAATTCCTTACATCTCCTCTGTCAACTTCTTCAAGCTTCACTGTTTGCATGTACTCTTTTTTATCTTCCCTGATCTCTTCCAGAGGTTGGGTTTCAAAAACCCATTTCTGATGCTGAACATCCCCCCTTTCTTCCTCAGAGGCAGTGATTTTTTGAAGTTTTCCTACATCTGGGCTATCTTTTAAAGCCTCTATTGGAAGTGTTTCAAATAGATGCTTAGTAGTTTGTACGTCTCCTCCTATTATCTCTTCAGATCTTGGAGAATCTGCATCAGGGACTTCTTTTAGAATGTCTAATGGCTGTGTTTCAAACATCCAACACTTTCTGGAAACATCTGTACCTATTATTATTTCCTTTTCGGTGGTGACCTCTTCTAAATCTTCTTTGATTTTCTCCAAAGGTTGGGTTTCAAATAACCACTTTGCCCTACTCACCCCACCTTTGACATTTTCTTCCATGGATATTCCTCGGACAACTTTAATTTCCGTGATATCCTTGTTAATTGTGTCCAAGGGCTGTGTCTCAAACATCCAGCGTGCTGTTTTCACATCCCCCTTTTCAACATGCTCTCTGTGAACAGTTTTAATTTCGAGCATTTGACCTAAACCATCTCTGATAACATATAATGGCTGAGTTTCGAAACATTTTATACTTCTCTTAACATTTCCCTTAATTTCTTTGAGCTCAGACCTCAGTTGCAGTAGATCAACCTCATCTACTGAATGAAGCTGTCCAATATGATCCAGATGTTGAGTTTCAAACATGTACCTCACAGTCTTGACATCCCCCCCAGTTATGTTATTGACGGCAGTTACCACTGATTCTTCTTGACTCTGATGCAATTTATTCATTGAGTCTAACGGTTTTGTTTCAAACATCCACCGGACTGTGCGGACATCTCCTCTGGCTAGCTCAGGAATTTTCTCAGTGTTTTCTTCAGCACCAGAAGAATGTTCTCCCAGTGTATCTATGGGCTGGGTTTCAAACATCCATGTGGTATACTTCACATCACCACCAGCAATGATTTCTTGATCAGCAATGCCCTTGGAGATGTTTTCTTCATCAGGAGAGCCATTGTTGATGGAATCTAGCGGCTGATTCTCAAAGATCCATCTCATGGACTGCACCTCCCCCTTCAGAATTTCATCCCACTCCAAGTGTTCTCTTTCAGAGCTCAGAACTTTTTGAGAACTGTCGTTTGTATTTTCAAAAACATACCGGGCTTGTTGCACATCTGCTGAAACTGAGCTTCCTGGGTTCCCTTGACTAGAAACAATCTCAGAAACCTCACTGATATACTCTTTTTCTAAGTTTTTTCTTAACTCAGGATGGATGTGTTTATATAAACGGTTTAATTCATACAAATTTCTTTGCTTGGAGTATAATTCTTTGGGGACTAGTGGTAATCTAGGAGGGCTGGAGAGTTCAGGGGACTGGGAAAATGCTGTCACATCTATTGGAGCTTGAAATATATCAGGTGGGGGAGGAGGAAATTCTTCCGTCTTTCCCAAAGGAGTGGCATGAACTTGTGCCAGAGTTGAGGAAGTGGCACTGTGGTCACTACATCCTGTGGTTGATGTTTCCTTCCTCTGGCTGGTTGAAGTGCAAGAAGTGGATGAGGTACCCACAACTGATGATGGCTTTAAAATATCTTCATATTCACTTTCAATCTTTAAGGGAGAGAAAATCAAATCTTATAAAGATGGGTGGAGTGGTAGAGACTTCCTAGGTACTGCCCTTCACCTGTCTACCTGCTATGACATCTCCATTGGGAACAAGAGGTGATATACTCCAGTTAGAGATCTACTGAGGAGGGATATTCAGTGTTTGCTACTATCTATCTTTCATGTAATCCATTGGCCCTTTTAGAGTTATATTCTCTATTAAATACATCAGTGACTCAGTATTTTAACATTTATACATAATCTTTTTTTCTTCATTTACTTGATGTGCCATGCAACTAATCTAGAGGGAAACAATAAAAGTGTTAACATATGTTTGAGGGTTGTTTTGTTTTCCTTGGAATTTTAAACAGAAAAGAATAAGTATCTGGGAGCCAGCCGAGTGGCACATTGTTTAAGAACTGGCTTGGGATGCCAGAGGGCCCCGGTTAGGATCCCACATATGAGGGCCAATGACACTGCCCTCTACAGCTAAGATGCTGAACAACAGCTCAACCTGGAGCTGGGCTGCCATGAGTCACTGGCAACGGCGTAGGCTGCAGCCCCTGCTGCAGTGGGTTGCCATGGGCTACCGTGTGTAGCCAGCAGCCAGCAAGAGCGGCCAGCAGCCGCTGTGAGAGGCCATCCAGAAGCCAGCAACTGATCTGCCTCACCCAGGGAAAGTGCAATGATGGTGCCAACTTGGGCCAGTGAAGCAACGTCCTCCACAACTAGACTGAAGAACAAAAGGACAGCAACTTGTCTGTTCCTCTTCCCCCAATTCCCTAATAAAAATCTTAAAAAAAAAAAAAAAAGAATAAGTATCTGATATTTGAACTTGAATATGTTATTTTATCTAATGTTAATTATTAAACTTTGGAGCATACATAATTGTTTCTCCCCTAATTTTCTCTAGTGAGAAAAGTTCTAACTCTCTCCACCACTTTTCCATGTAGAATAATAATATTCTAATGGGATGGAATAAGTATTCATTCAGGATAATTTTTGTTGTTAAAAAAACTATTTCAAACATTCAATAATTTGAAAATGTTATGCATTTAAGTCTGGTTTTACACTTAATATGTTTCTATGTAAAGAAACTGTCTTACCTTAATCTGCTTGGCTGGAATCGTCTCCTTGTCAGAATAAAGGACTTTTTCCTGGACAGACTTCTCAAATTGCTCTCTTAAAAACTTAGTTGAAACCTTTGGAATCTCTTCATCCTCAGGTGTATCTATGACTACAAACAGAAAAGAACACCAGGGTTATTATGTAACTAACAAATATGATGTTTAGGAAGAAATTATAATGTCATGGGAAACTTATAAGTAAAAAGGATCAAGATACAAATGTATACATATGGCACTATTTCATTATGTAAGTTAATATATGTCAAGAAATATAGGAAGAAAAATGGTGGTGGTTATCTCTGAACAGGAAGTCATAACTGATGAAGCTGGTGTTTATTTTAATTCCATATATTTTCCAAATTTTCTACAAGCATGTTTTACTTTTATGCTCAGGGAAAAAAATTATAAAAGTTATAAAACAAGAAAAAAACAGCAGAAGGACACAAAAGGAAGACCGATTTTCATAAGGAACACCAAAATACAAATACAGTCAAGTAATGTTTCAGTTACAGTTGGCTTAGCTTTTTAGTACAGCAAAACTTCTCATTCCCCTTTTATAGGCAAGGCAAATTGTATCCATTTTATGCCAACTTGCACAAATTTGCCTGTAGTCTAATCTCATATCTGTATGTTGGAGAACTGGACTTAAAAGTGCTTAAATCTGTTATTAAAAAAAATACAATCTAGAGAACATTTCTATCCTCAGAGAGTTTGAAAAACATCAAGCTTTATTCTAGTTCCCTGATGCAAATAGCAATTCAGATGTGGCTGGCCTATCACCTTTTAGGTCTTTAGGATGAATACATAATAGGGTTGATGGGCAATGAACTAGTTTAGAAGCTTTTGCATCTATCACCACAGGCAGAACCTAATTATATACAGAAATACTACCCTGTTCCTTTGGGACCATGAGTCATAGTTACTAACTTCGTGAGAGGGACTGTGCTTTGGAAGTCTTCCATTCAAACCCAGGGGTATGAATAGGGGAAAGGTATACTGGAGTCAAATAATACCAGATTCTTACCAGTTTCTTGAACATATTGATGTAACTGAGAAGCTTGGTTTATCTCGCCAGTGTGCTTTTCAAGATGAGAGGCCTGTGTTTAAAAATAATTTTAAATAAGTAATTGTTTTTAAGATGTCAATTATTTCAACACATATATCCATTATTTCACTGTGATTTTCATGCAAGAACTCCATGCACACTGAGAGATGATAATTAAACCTCTATCACATATTTTAATGCATGGCTCATGCTATAACAGAACATATATGAATTTACACTTAAAGTGCACTCATATTTTTAGAATGCTTGTTTCATTTTCCAAAGAATGTCAGCTCCAAAACGGAGAAAGAGACATTGATACGTACTGCTATTAAATACATAAAGAACAATGAAAGCAATTGCTTACAAAGAGATCAGAATTTCCACACAGTTCTGAAAACTGTTTGGAAAGTGTTGTCTTTCTAAGCAGTTACCATTTCTGTTCCAAGAACATCCATTTTGTGTGCTTTGGAAGCTTCTTTTTCATGTCTTTCCATTTCCTGGCTGCTTCTTGAAATGTTGACTTGGCTGCTATGGATTACCTCCTGAAAATGAATGAATGAATGAATGAATGAATGAATGAATGAATGAATAAACAATACCTTAAGGAAAGTCTAAAAATTTTAACTTTTTTTATTAATGCAATTTTAGTGACAGAATCTTCTGAAAAAAAAAAAAAGGTTTCTTAGTGTATTAGTTGGCTTGGCTGCTATAACAAACTACCTCAAACTTAGTGGCTTGAAACTGCACAAATTTAATATCTTACAGTTCTGTAGGTCAGAAGCCCTGGATGGGTCTTACTGAGTGTTGGCAGCTGTCAGAAGGTTTGCATTCCTTTCTGCAGCTCCTGGGGAGACTCCATCCCATGGCCTTTTGCAGTTACAGAGGCTACCTGTTTTCCTTGGTTTATGGCCTCCCTCCTCTGTAGGGCTGAGCATTTCTCACATTGCTATCTCTCTGATTCTCTCTTTTGATCTCTTCCATCTTTAAGAACCTTGTAATTACATTGGACCAATCTGAATAATCCAGGATTATCTCCCTGTCAAAAGGTCAAGTTATTAGCAGTCCTAATTTCATCTGTAATCTTAATTCTTTTTTTGCAATGTACTTTAATATTATTAACAAATTCTGGGGATTAGGACATAGATATCTTTGGGAGCCATTACTTTGCCTACTACCCTTAGTAAGCAATAAATGTCAATGATGCATCTTGTAGCCAATATGAGAAATATTAATCTCTAAAAGAAAATGCAAATCCTTGATGAAAAAGAAATATATTTTGTTGTGTGTAAGTCAAATTTTCGTGTTACAGAAAGACATTCTAGTCTTCAAGTTGGCCACCTAGCTTGATGACATGTTCAGACTTCAATTGAACAATGTAACCATTAGCTATAACCAATATAAATAGACCATATTATGCTGGTTTGTATCTCGCTCTCTTCACACATAGGGATACTTTCGATTTTGGTTAAGTTAGCACAGATGACCCAAGCTGAATTGGAAGCTTGAAGCTCCTATTTATTTTATTGATCTAGCCCTGCTGTTACTACAGAATATGATCTGATACAAGTATATGATTGATTGATTCATTGACTGGTTGGTTGATTGATTGATTGATTGATATGATGAGGCAGTTGGAATATTGCTAAAAACCTTAACATCAAATAATAAGGATATGGACAGATGACTCTCCAAAAACACATGTATTTGATCACTTTTTAAGTTGGGGGTTTACTTTATCTTAATATCTACATAGCTAACAGATACTGTTTTTTAGGTCTGATTTTTTTAGACATTTACCTTAGTAGAGAATAGTCAAGTGAGCAAAGGTACATTATTACTATTATTCAAAGAGGAACACTAAAGTTTTGTTTATCTTTTAGATGGGGTTAAATAGTTTTAAGCTATCAAATTCTAATCCTTTAAACCAAGAATAAGTTTAAAATTAATTGATGAGATCTTGACTTGTGATTTTTTTCTTTTTGGCTTATAGTGTGTAGCTCCCTGTCCCCACCCGCCAACCCCCACAAGGGTACTTGGTATAAGGGTTGAAGCTCTGATTAAACCAAGTGGCAGTCAGACATTTATTTAGAGATCTATAGTATGATCTAAATTTATTAAACTTTTCTTGGAAGGAGAATTAAGAAAAAAAGCTTACACCCTTCAACAAGTATTATAAAGAACTGAAGGCAGAACTTTAAAATGTAGATTATATTTCATTGGATGTGTTAATGAACTACTCAAAGATGGGAGGAATCCTTTCACAGTGTATACATACTCATATATCAAAGCATCATACTGTACACTTTAAATATCTTAAAATTTTGTCAGTTATACCTCAATAAAGCTGGAAAAAATGTAGATTATATCTCATGAAACTGAAGACCAGTGTAATTTTTTTCCCCAAGCAGAATGGTTTTCTAGCCCAAATTAATGATCCACATATATCAAATGAGATTTAACAACATGCTTGACACACAGTTTGTGCTAAGGAAAAGTTTACTTAGTGAATAAATGACTAAAATAGCAAACTTCCATTAATAAATTAATTTCATTCAACGTTCTATTTGCCAGAGAATGTCCTAGAAACTGGGGATAGAACAATGAACAAAACATTTACTTTACTTCCTCAAGATGAAGTATAGACAATATAGCATATTCTTTGCTTTAAATTCAAAGAATCATAATACCCTATAATGAGAATCTACATAACAAGTTTTATTTAAGGATATTAACAACATCAGACTGGAGAGAACAATAACAATCATGGAAGACTGCAGATAGAAGAAATGCGTGGGCATAAACATCAACTCTTTGCAAGGACAACTATTTACAAGTGTGACAAGTCTTTCCATCTCTAGGGATATAATGAGAATATTCTATGGCTTCCTTATGATATACTGAGCAATAGGAAGTACTGATTAAATGACAGTGAAAGAGCAAAGGAGACTGGGGACCTGACCAGATTCCTATTGAAAGGCACCATGATCATTACTACAGAATCACATTCATACCTAGAGGCCCATGAGATAAGCTGTGGCCCAGAGACATGCTTATTTGGCTCACTCAATGTTTTCAAAGTTTTTAATTAGTGAACAAACACCTACAAAAATCAAGATTTGTCTGCTTTTGAAAACTGAAGATCTGGCATCAACTGGATTCACATTCCAAAATGGCAGTGGCTTGGGCCGGACAAGTGGCTCAGTTGGGTAAGAGCTCGCTCAAGAGTGTGAGCGCTGAGCAATAGCGGTTCAAGTCTGGGCCTGAGCTGAGCTGCCAACAGGTGGCAGGATGGCTCAGCTAAAAAAAAAAAAAAAACTGCCAAAATGGCAGTGTCTTGCTGGAACAAAGTAGCAGCTACCCTTTTTAGTTGGAGCACGTGCTTTTCAAGTAATCGCCATTTCCGTCATTCACTCAATTTAACACCAAGTTGACATTTAAAAAAAACCTGCCTGAAACCCATAGAACGTTAAGTTTCTGATACTTGTTGCTAATAATCAGACTGAAATAATAAAGTTAGCGATGTGAATCTGTGTGTTGAGAAAGGCAAATGCAAAATATGGGTAGTAGAAAAAGAATACATAAATGTATTTTTGATACATTTTTTAAATCATCATTTTTGGGACAAAAATATTTTATACTTAATATGTATTCACTTGAGTAAGAACAATCCATGTCTATCGTTTCTAAATATATTTTCTTGTAAGAGATGACACAACGTAAACAGCACAAAGGTATGCAAATTTAGTTTAGCATTACAAGTTTCCACTTCAGCACTTATGTGCTATTACTAAATAGAACTGTAATTGCTACACTAATTTGGTATGTTAGTTTCAATGCATCAATGTTACTGCCCCCTGGCTAGTGTAATGTATATGAAGTCTATTAAAACATTCCAAGGTTTTGTTTCCATCATTTACCATTTCATATTTTACAGCAAATTTAGTTTGAATTTTAAATCTGACTGTTATTTTTCCCAATTGCTGATATTTATAGAGTGTAGGATTAGGCAAAAAGATGGATGATCACAATGCTCAGGAAAAAAATCAAATTACACAAATAAAATGTAACAAAGAATTCTGGCCAGAACACCATATATCAATTCACACAAAACAATTCATAAAATTGGCTCCCTAAAATTAAATTCAAATATAGATAAGGCTGCAAGAGACAAAATGCTGTTTTTTTCCACAGGTGGATTAACCAGGAGTCAGAAATGGGAATTAGCCCTATCTTCCCCTCCAGGAGGTATGTCATAATCTTGGGTAAGTCACTAAATCACAGTTGAACTTGGTTTTTTCATCTCATTCATCCATGAGAAGAAAGAAAAACAGATGATATATGTGTTCTAATTTTGGAATCTAAAGGAGAAAATGTGACACAATTATAAAACAATATCATGATGTTTGCATATCTCATACCAACCTGAAGTCAGCTCATAATGTATATTAGCCAAGTATATTACAAAAATCTATTCTTGATATACACTTCTCCTGAGGAGATTTCTACAGCACAGGAAAGAGTTCACATGCTGACTACCCAACTTGTCACTGTTATTATCATTATAGGAAAAGACATAGTACATTTCTGTCAATAAAAATGCAAACTCATTCTAGCATAATGAGTAAGGAAAGAAAAGGACAGACTTTTCTTTATGGTGACTCATTATTGTTGTGACTCTTAGAAGTGTCACCAATAGAATACAAGGTGATGAAAGACTGGCAGAATAGTAAATGATAACTGCCTCAGTAGAGTGGAAAAAACAGTTCATGCTCAAGACCAGTAATTAAGCAATTTTACCCATCACTAATCTAATTTTTAATAAAACTAGAGTTATGATGTATTAATGTTATTTGCATCTTTGTCAGACATAAACAATACAAAAAATGTGCTCTTTATGTTAGCAAAAATGTCAATGGATTCAAGGTCTGAAAGAATAATCAGTTCTTTCTTTTAAGAGATGACCATAAAAAATGTGGTTGATTTATTGTGTTTGTCTAGATTTGGATGTATTCAAATTCTAACATGTTTTCTTTTGCCCTGAGTTTTCTCTCTCTTTACTTTAAAAGTTTACAGCATGAATCTGACATTCTTAGGGGTTGAGCTTCAGGTTAAGGCTTTTCCACAGTCACGTATACACTTTGGAAGTCCTGGCTCAAAACTTATTTTCTCTTTGAAACCTTTCCCAACTTTTCTAGACAGAGTTACTAATTCCCGCTTCTTCTTCTTCTTCTTTTTTTTGTTGTTGTTGTATTCCTGTACTGTCAGTACACACCTCTATTATCTACCTGTCACATTTCATAGTCATTACTTGATACTATGAACTCTCCTGTAACTGAATCCCTGCACCCTCAAATCTCAGTGTTTATCTTCCTGGTGGATAGTAGATGCCACTCAAAATATCAAGGAGTGAATGCATGGGCAAATAGCCACATTTTTTTTTTCTAGAAGTGTAAAAATTTTATGATTTTATAAAAATCTAGCTTAAAAACAGTGATTTTAGATTTTTTTCCACATGCCCCTAGGATTTTGTTTTTTGGCATTT